GAAATTTTAGGACTTTCCATTTATATTCATTCACTCATTCTTCATTCAGTATATTATTCAAATAGGTCTTACAGTGTCAGGTATGTCTTAGGTACTAGTTATGAAAAGGTATGGAAAACATGACCTTTATTTTCTAAGAGAATGATCTTCAAAATTTTTGCCTCCACATTCTCCAAAAGAGTTTTTGAAAAACTTTGCAGTCCCTTGAAGTTTAAGTCAAATTGAAAATGCTTCACTTTAACATTAAGCAATTGTGAAGGGTACGCTCTCCAGGCTACTGTAAACGAAACTCTTACACCACTTTTTTAAATGTAGACATTGAAATGTAAATACGATAGTGATAGGATACACATCATCTTCCAACAAAAAATATGTGAAGCACTTCATCTTTAATAGTTAGAAATGTTAACGGTTCCTTTTCCTCCTTAAACTAATATTTTGATTTCTTTTTCCAACAAAGTTTTATCCTAATTTAATATCTTTTATACTTTAAAGCCTTTGATCATGTTTTCAAACTTTTCCGCAACAAAATACGAACATAGTTTATTTCTAAATTTTCAATGACCATAATTATCCATGAGTTATCCTTACAAATAAAACTAGTAAAAATTGGGAAAAACAAATTTTGATAGCCACAAAGAATAAAATTTTATTGGAAATGTATTTCTTAATAGGATAAATAGGGCAGGTTTTCAATAGGTAGCTAGTAAAACAACTACTTATGAAATAACATGATGAGAGAAGCAACGGAGGAGCTGGAAAGGAGGAATGAGCCATTCTCCTTGGTTGATCTAGGAAAGTTTTTGCAGAGAAAATGCCGTTTATAATGGATCTAAAGGATTAAAAGGCATCCTTTGGGCAAATAAGGTAGAAAAAGAAAACTGCAAGCAGGACAATGAGCGTACAGCTTGGAGAAAGAGAAAAACATGGCCGGTCCAGGCAACAGGTCCTTTTGGACATGTTAAATCTGTGATGCCTATTAGATATTCAAATGAAATCTGGACGAAATCTGGTATCTTGTTGGCAATTGAATTTAAGAATGTGGAGATTAGTGGAATGGGTTCGGGCCACTGTTAAGTTGTATTCAAACTCTCTAAGTTAACTCAGGCTTAGATGAAATCATGTAGTAAGAGAGGGTAGGCAGAAAGCAGAAGAATTTCAAGCACTGAGCACTGGTGCACTAAGTATGTAGTCATCAGGGGGAAGAGAAAGAACTAGTAAAGGAAAGTGAAAGGGATGGCCAGTGACACCCCAGACACCAGGTAAAGAGCAAGACTGATACCCTCTTAAACACTGTCATGTTGAGAAGGTGAGAGATGAGGAATTAACATTTTTATTGCCTTTTAAATTCCATACTAAAGTGTGCTTCTAATGTAAGGGCTTCCTAGAAATGGTATTTAAAATTTCCAAAAGGTATTTTTTTCTTTTGTCATCACTCTATTTTTGATTTCTCATTTTATTGGATTAGTTAGATAAATTGACTGAGCAAAAACTTCTAGGATTTTATTAGGGTTTTCCTTTTAGTTAAATACCTGATTACTTTGTCAATGTGTTCTATGGATATAAGAAAATAACATATATTCTTTGTTTTATACAAAGGATGCGAATATATATACACTTTTTTATATAAATAACATTGTATATGCTACATATATAAAATAACATAATATCTAAAATAAAATATACTTTGTTATTTTTAACAAAGTGATATGAATATATATGCACATATTTTTAGTTTTGTTTTGTTTTGAGTTTTTTTAAATTAAATACTCTTAGAATATCTAGGAATTTTTGCCTTGTGTATTTTGTCACTATATTGTTTGATACACAGAGATTATCCCTGTTGTAACTTTCTAGAGTACATTATTTTAATTTAACAACATAGCCTTTTAAAAATGTGCTTATACTATAATTTTGTGCTTTTTTGATATTAATGTCACCACTCTTTATTTTTATTTTTATTTGCCAAATCTATTTGTTCTTACCTTTTGTTTCAGGTCTTCTTCTAGACATATTTCTTGTTTATAATTAAGTATATATGAAATAAATTATATTAAATTATTTATATAAGCATACATGTATATAATTATATATGCATTTTAATTTGATGCTACTTCCTATTTCTCTCCTTTAGCCTTGCTCACTTGATTTTCTTTTCTTTCTTGTAACCTCTTTCCTGTCCTCCATATTAATTTGGAATTTATATTACATAGCTCAGTCTATTTTTCTAACAAACATATTGATATATCAAAATAATACAATAATCCAGCTTCCTTAGGTGAGGGACAACTTTCCTCTTTTGGCTCACGGTTTGCTTCTTCAGCCCTTAAACTTGCCAAGCTGTTGGTGTTTCTTAAGTAATGGAAAACCATGGTTCACTTAGCAGTTTCTACTCTTGTGGATAATTATAAACTCCCAGCAACCCAAATGACCTTCTTATAAAGTCTCTCTTCTCTGGGATCATAGGTGAAACCTGAAGGTCCTTTCTCAAGCCACCTTAGATCCCAAGAGGAAATCCAAAGGGTTTGATGATAGGCTTCCTCAGGGAACCATGAAATTCTTGTATTCACAATGGCCTGGATGAGAAGCGGGCTTTGGTTTTCTGACCTTACTTCCTTGGGTGACAAAGACAGAGAATCTCCGCTCCTGGGAATGAGAGAGTAGGCTTTGACATAAAGCCAACAACTTCCCCCAGTGCCCTATAGTTACTCTACAACTCTTTTCTAAAGCCATCTTCATTTAACCTTGAATCCAAAAATGAATACCTATATGTAACAAATGAACTGGACACTAAATTTAATTGGAAATGAATTTGACACTAAGTGCAACTAGAAATCATTTACATTGTTATTTGGCATTTCAGTAAGACAAGTTATGCTTCAAATAAGGAATTGTGCAAGGATAAGTCAAAGGATGGCTAGTGCAAGATTGTTTGTGAAAGCAAATATTTAAGAACTAAATAACTATTGGTAGGATTAACAAAGTTAATTAAATGATGACACACCCATTCATTAAATATTGTATACGATACAGTACAAAAAAGAATGATATAATAATACTGATGGCTAGCATTCCTATAATGTCTTTTTTGTGTCAGGCATTGTATATTGTCTTACATATATTTAGCCCTTTAAATCTCACAACTACCCCATGAGGTAGGTACTGTTATTTTCTCCATTTTACCAAAGAAGAAGCTGAAACACAGGCAGATTGAGGGACTCACCCAACACTACATATCCAATAAGTGGTGGACCTAGAGTCACATGTACTGACGTGGGAGGACAGCATGATATTTCATGAAGAGGAAAAAAAAAAAAACAAGGTACAAAGTATATGTGTAAAGTATAACTCACATTTCTGTAAGGAACAAATATGGGCTTGTGTGTACATGTATTTGTGAAAGAAAAACCATCTCTAAATGGATATAAACCAAGCTACCAAAGAGGAGGATTTGGCTGTTGGGATTTCTAACATTTTGCCTGATACAGTACTGTATGTTTTTAAAAAAATTATTACAATACACATATATTACTTTTGCAGTTCACAACTGTAAAGAAATAAAAATTTGAATGGAGAGACTAATATGAAAAATATTTCAAATGTCATTTTTTCACACCAATATTGAAGATAGCACTAATTTCAAACATTTATGTATAGTGATGGTAAGTACAGTTATTTAGCTATTTGAAAAGTATTATTTACTATCAAAAATAATATATTAAAATATGTGATTGACTTTCCAGTTAATGAATTCCTCTCTACATTTTGCTATGTTGATTTCCTGTCTTGAGTGCATTCCCTCTCGATCCTCTGGTTGCATCTTCTCCCTCAGATTAGAGTTTCCTCATTTGACAGAAACAAATTTTGGATGTCACCATCTGGATTTCAATTTTTAATCAGATTTTAGAAATTAATATTATGTATCTCATCTTTCCATTGAGTTATAGTTTGTGATAAATTAATTTGCATGGAAACTGATACAAGGAAAAATATGATTTTGTTGAGATGCTGTGAAATAAATTATGTAATGAATTTGAGAGACAAAACACTTTGAGAATTAATAATTCAGTTTCAAGGTTAAAACGGTGTCTCAATATATCTCATCATAAACATTTTTGTTGTTTTAATTGGTAGAGGTTTCTGCTTTTTGTAGGGATAAATAATTTTTCTTAAAATATGGGCGTTGACTCAGAAGGATACAAGGATTTAAACAACTATTAATCAGTGTTTTCCAGAGACGTCTATGTTTTTTTGTTAAGACTTGGCTATCAACATGCAATCAGTTGTCTAATAAGCAAAGTAATATATCCATTGGTCTGCTAGATTAAAAAGTCACAGACACAAATATAATGAAATATGCATCATTTCCTTTGGAATTTATGAAACTGTTTTGCACAATTCCCTAAAGGGTAAGAGAAAAAAATCAAGCAATCTTTGATATACAATATAAATAATTCCCAAAAGAAATCACAAGGACTGTTTTTGTTTATTTCTGCTCTAAGTATGCAAATGTATTCCTTATCTGTACTTTAACTTTAGCTACTCATAAACATCGACTGCATGAACCAGAAAAAGGTCTTATTTATGAATTAATTTTATTCTTTGTTGTTAGAAAAAAGAAATACGGAATTTGAAATAAAAAGGGAGAAAGGATATACAGATACTAAGTTCATCTGAAATAGGATGACACCCATATAAAAAATCTTTTCATAACCTGATATAAATATTAAAAACAAGGAATAATGAGTATTATTAACACTATATATCCCATATAATATAAAATGTTGAAAGACATAAAATCATGTTAAATAATTGATATTTTTCTAAAATACACTCACATCTTCCTTTCTCTTATTCAGATGGATAAATGTATATAGTGTCATTATCCACTATTTTTACCTTAATAATCACATGTTCGTTCATGGTGCATTGTATCAGCCTCAAGAAAAATAAGTAAGCCAACTGCCATAAATATTAAAAAGATAGACAATGCTCCTTACCGACACATAGGACCATTTTTCTTCACTACACAAGCCCCACCATTTCTGCAGTAATTTATTGGGCACTCTAAAAAGAAGTAACACAAAAACCACAGTTAATTACAAATATTATTAGAAAGAAGGAGGACATATTACTGTTAGTCACTGCATTAAGTCTAATCACTGAGAGTAAATTGCTTCCTAGTTGCTAAAAGCACAAGAATTCTCCCAGGCTACTTTCCTGTGCCCCACACATTTGTTCAGTGTCTCCTGCTGCCCTGGATGTGTTCATTCTCTTCACAGGCCGGAGTGGTTGACCACAAGAGAAGACTTTTTTCTCCCCTGGATTAGGTACAATATATTTATTTAGAATGTGTCTACACGACATATTTGTGATCATACTGAAATTTTTTCTTTAGTGAAACATTCCTTCAGTTCCACACAGTAGTCACTACATCATGGCAGACCAATGCTGTGCATGAGTGGCCTTGTCTTTTTGATAAAATGCCGCTCATGTGCATGTGCATGTCCTACCTCTGCATTGGTGACAGATGTCAGCATAGCTCATATCTGACCTGGTGCTGCTTTTCTGCTGCTTGCATCATTCCCTACCTCTGGGTTAGCATGACATTTATTTTCATAGGTAGTTTGTTTAGAGGTTAAAAAGAAGTGTAATATTTTCATGTAGTTATGACTGTGGAAGTGGTTATTGCTTTCAGCTCTTCATGGTGCTTTTCTTGTGTCCCCATTAAACAATCCTGATCCATTAAGGCCTGTCACCTAATCCCCAACTTGGTCTTCTTGGTTTTTATAACACCTCCTGTCTTATGGGCTACCAATCTTCCCTGGTTGGCTGTCATAACTCCAATACTTGATAGAAATCTCCACTGCCTTTAATTAGTAATTCAACACATCTATTCTGAGTACTTATGCAATGTCTAGCACTGGGCAAGGCACTGGATATGTAATGGGAAATAATACAGGAAGTTTACATAGTTGTTAAGGCCATGGGCACCAGAGCTAGACCACTCTGGAATCTCAGCTCAACTTATTGGCTGTGTAATATAGGGTAAGGTGGTTAATCTCTTTGTGCCTCAGCTTCTTCTCTGTCAAGTAGGGTTGAAAACAGTACCTATCTCCTAGGATTGTTGAGAATGTTAGAACAGCCAGCTCATAGTATGTGTTTAAGAAATGTTGGCTGTGTACAGTGGTGGATGGTAATTTGTCTTTGGGTCATGAACATGATGCAGTCCATACAGAAATTGAAATATATTGATGTAAACCTGGAATTTACATAATGTTATAAATCAATCTTACCTCAATTAAAAAAAAAGAAATGTTGATTTAAAAAAGATACAGGCGCAGTCTCTGCTCTCATTGACCTTCCAGCCTCATGAAGCATGCAAAAAAGTGACCAGGGCATTAAAATATGGTATTAAAAGTCATCTAATTTGGGATGGGTGTAATAAGGGCGATGGAAGCACCAAGGAGACCAGCCAAGTGAAATTTAGGGAATAAGCAAAAACTTTCCAGAAGAAATTCAGTAGCCACTTATTTGGGCAGTATTGTGCGTGTCTGTGTGTGTTTGTGTGTGTGTGTAAAGGTCAGCGTAAAGACCCAGAGGCCCAAGAAGAGAGTAGGGGGTATTTGAGGAACTGAAAGAAATTCAGCCTGGGTGGATCGTTGATAATATGAAGAAAATGTGAGAGGAGGTCATAGACATGCAGGGGCCGAATCCTATAGGCTCAAGTGAGGTTTAAAGTTTAACCTAGGAGAGCAGGATTTTAAGAAGGGAAGTGATATGCTTTGTGCTTGAGAAAGATAATCCTGCATCCAGTGTAGAAAGTCAACAGAAGGGCCAATACTAAAATTTGGGAGCACAGTTAAGAGTCTTTTGTAATAATTGAGGAAGAAACTATGGTTGCCTGAATGAAAGGGGCGGAGTGGAAAGTTGAGAGTTGTAGGAATTTATGAGATATTTAAATGTTGGCATTGAAACATCTTCATGATTATTTGGAAGAGTCAAGGACGAAGTTCAAATTTCTGTCTGGGCCACTAACCAGTTGGTGGTTTCATTTACTGAGCTGTGGTATTTATGGGAAAGGAAGATTTTAAAGGGAAAGATGGTACTGTGTTTTAGATGCTAAGGAACATCCAAGTAGAAGGGTTTGGTGGTCAGGATTAGCAGGTCTGAAGCCCAGATGAAATACAACCTAGATATATGGATTTCAGGAATCAGGTACCTTCCTCTGCCTTATACATATCATCACTTTCTAGGCTTGCACCTCAAATCATTTTGAGATCATTGTGTTAGGTGCTACGAGTCACAGAGGTACAGTCCCTATCTTTGAGGAGCAGACTGATCTTAGCAGAGAGAAATGATTCACTTGGGCGCAGAAAAGACGTTGATGATGTAGGAGAGTAGAAAAGTAAAGAAGAGAAGCAGAAATTTTATGTAGGCAACATTCACTGAAGGAAAACTTTGAAGGAAAAGGCAGCTAGAGAGAGATTGTCAAGTCAGTCATTGAACATTCAGAGGGGGATGGAAGAGGCACCGTGAAGGAGGAGGGTTGCCATGTGGGAACAAACCTGAAATATACTACATGTCTGGTATCCTTTTCCTTTTTAAAAGTTTTCGGTGATCTGCTGTCCTAGAAGTATATTTCCCATCTTGCCTTCCCTTACTCCTCCCTATTTAACTAATCACAACGGGGGAGTAGGGTCCCGAAGATGAGAGTAGAGAGCGACACTCCTCAGGCACTGGGGGCATGCTCAGCTGAACAGAACAGATGTAAAATTTCCTTTATAAATAAGAAATTAGTTTGTTTGACTAGAAATAGCCCACCAATATGATAAAGCATAAATAGACACAAATCTTGTTAGATAAACAGTTTTAAGGTTATTTTTTGGTCTTATGCACAATTTTAGACTTCCTCAAATAAAAGTTTTCTTTTGGGAAAAAACCCAGCAGAGAGTCTGATACTACAGAGCATCAAAATCCACACAGCTGCACACTTTTTTCTGGGGTCATTAATATTTACTTTGATTGTCGAGAGTAAAACATAGGCTTGTTTCACATCAGAATGATTTCGTGGGAATCTAAATATATATTTTCTTGCAATGGATAGTGGAGCACAGTGGAAAGTACACAGGCATTGGCAGGAACAAAGAGGGAATGCTGGTGTTTTGGAAGACAGATTTGTGGACTATTTCTAAGAGAAGTTTTTCTAAGTTTCTGTCTTAGACCCAGGTTCTTTACCTAGAAAATAGAAAGACACAGTACAAAGTGTTTTCATCTTTAATTTACTCGGGACAATTTAGAGCTGAGAGCAGATGAAATGGGAAAGAGGATGGATACCACTAGTTAGTAATGAAGAGACTACATATTTCCAGTAGATAAGATAAGTAGAAAGTTCCCTAGATGGGAACTAGGAGTCCAAGGGAGTGAGGTTAGAATTAGCACAGATTCCCAGGCTCTTTAACCACATTAACGTCTCTCTGCCTTGTACCCTCTTGTGCTTGTTATTGTGACCTCATGTCTGGAGGCCAACACAACTCACAACTGACTATGAAGAAATATCATTCTGGAAAGAACCCACAATCAATTCCACTCCAGTGTTTCATTTTGGACAAGCAGAACATACATATAAGATGGACAAGTGATCAATATAAAAACAGAAATAACTTTTAGGTTTAATTCTAAATAATTTGCAACTAGGCAACTATCTTCTTTTTCCCTCTCTCTCTCTCTATGTATATAGAGACTTGAGAAGTGACAGCTATTACACAGTGGATTGTTGGGAAGAATGATAATCACATGAGTCCTGGTTTTCCCTCCATGATACCTGGCTTAATTAATGAGTTGTGTGTCTTTGGGCTAGGTAGGTTAAGGACAGAGTTCTTCAGGTTTAAAGTAAGGATTGTATTACCTTCCTTATAGGGCTGCTGGGAGAATAAAATTAAATTTATAACATTTCTACATTAGTAAATGGCAGGCATGAAGTATTAAATAATTGTCCTCATCCATCTCTGTATATGTGGGGGTTCTTTGAATTTCCCCTGAAACTAATTTCCATTACCATTGCTCTCTCCAATTTCTCCTCTTTCTTTTCTTTTTCTCCTCTAGCATCGTGATCACCATCACCACTACATTTACTGAAGACCTGTTCTACGTCAGAGACTGTCCTAAGAGTTCTAGCAGTGTCACCTCATTCAATCCTCATAACCTTATGTGCTATATCCCATACTTATCTTCATTTGACAGAGGAGGAAACTCGTTAATATAATTTGCTCTAGTTAATAGCAAGGAAGCAGCAGAGATTAACTAAATCCTGGTACTCTATCTCCAAAGCCTGTTAGTCTAAAAATGTCATATGATCTGCTATTCAGTTCAGATTTCTAAAGTCTCCGGGAGTTCTTGATATTATGGGATCATGAACCCCTTTGAATCATGTGGTATTTATGCACTGTCATGGATTATATATGCATATACACAATAAACCACACGTAATTTCAGGAGCCGATGGCGTCTAAGAATCCACCAAAAAGCTTGAGCGGCAAACCACGTTCCCACTGGGCAATGATTCTTCTTTTTATCTTGAAATCCCAGCACAAGGACTGCAGGAGAGATTAACACAGCTTGGAAACTTGAAATAGCTCTACAGTAATTGCATGGAAAGTTTTTGTGGTTTGTTTTGTTTGGTTTTTAAAACCTTCTGAAACTTTATGAAGCTATATATTATTGTTATTATACCTGTATTAAATTATATTCATAATATCCCATCCTAAGATATTATATTTTTAGTGCCTTTTTCTAGTTCTCCTTCAAATGGATGATTATCAGAATCATAGTATCACCTTAATATAACCGTTATTAACCTCTATTACTGCAAGATGATGGGCAAAAAAGTTCAGTTTACATTAAGCCAGACAAATTCTGTTCAATAATTTTCTGTTGCACAAGTGACCAAAATTTGAAAATAACATGGCTTTCTAACATAACTTGGGAATGGCCAGGACTCGCTGAAATATGCTTAATCCACAACACTTCTGCTGTGCCTCAGCTTGATGTTCTTGTTGATGACTTGAACCTCGAAGTGAGAGAAGACCAGATGCTCACCATCTGTTGTGTGACCACTGGGAGAATTACTGGATGCTGTAAGGATTGGGCTCATAAAAGTCTGTGAAATGCTGACCTTAAAGGAATATGGTGTTCGGAAAGAAAAAAGAAGGTACAACGTGCATTGACAGATCTTAACATGGATTAGGCTTAAAGGCATTCTTGAAAACAGAAGCACTGACTTTATCATATTTGATTGGCATACTAAAAAGCATATAAAATATAAATGGAGAACACATAGCATAATGTGGATTTTATTTCTGAAAACTGTTTCGCTAGTTCTTTATTTTACTTTAACCCGAGAGCTGTGGCAGTATGACCTATACTTTGTAAATGAACTGTAAATGAATTGGTGAGTGACTAAAATAAATAGGGCAACAAAAATGTCCTCTGTATTATTACCTACAGGTTGTCTATCACTCAGTATGAATGGCAGGTCTTCTGTTTTCCTGGCCATATCTTTAAAGGTAGAACATGTCAAAGCAGGCAATAAAACATAACATGTTATAACATATTTATTCTCATATAGAACTATTCTGAAGAAAACCTCACCTTTGTGTAAATAAATTTGGGTACTGGACATAAGTGCTGTGTCTTAATAGTTTTAAAGAACAGAACTATCTCATTATTATCTTTCTTACTCTCCAGAAATAGAGTAAGAGTATTTCCTTTTGTGTATCTAATCTGATGTATAGGCATTCCTAGTTGACAAATAACGTGAAACAGCATTAATCTTTGCGTATTTTATGGGGCTAGATTTGCTCACTTCTTGATTTCCTTGTGTACTCATAAAAGTCAGTGCCGTGTGAGTATTCATTTTCAGCAGCATAAAAGATAAGATATTTTACATAACTACGATTTCATTATAATTATCATGATTTTGTCACTTATAATGTTCTCTCTTAAAAGATGCGGAGGATGTATTCTTACCTAGTTTTGATATGAAACATATCCAATGTATTTGGAAAATCTAAGATTAAATCTATCTTTCATCACCAATTTATGTTATCTTTTAGTTGTGACAAATTTATATTGCCCTCAACTATCTATTATTTTATAAATCTCCTGCATGAAACAAAAATTCAGTTACCTAGGAGAGATGTTAAAAATGGACTGTAACAAATTAGAGAATTTTCGAGTAGTTCTGGTAAAAGTATAATCATAAATATACATTATCAGCACTTATAGATGTTCCAGGGCAAGAAGAAAGAAAAATGTTCAAAAGTCAATCAAAGTTCAACAAATCGACTTTTAAACATGACTAGATCATGCCAATAGGGAGCTTTTATAAAGAAGTGGGAAAAAATGACAATTTTTAAAAAATTAAAAACATAGATTGTGTAGGGTTTCCTTATAGAAACCAAGAGCCTAATAATCTTAAATTATATTGCATTAAATTAAAATTAAGTGCTTGATTTCTCTTTATTTCACAAACATTGTCCATACAGAATAAGCAGGAGTTTCATTACATTATATATTTGTAAGCTTTTTATAAATTTAGCAGTTAATGTTAACATTTTTCCTGCCCCCAAACCAATAATAGAAATTCAATTATTCCCTGTTTGCCGTTATTTAGAATTTCAAGTTTTAATATTTGTATTGCCTGCAGGTTAAGTCACTGGCTTATATTACAAAGAATATTTGAATGGAAATGGAGTACCTGAGCAGCTGGACTCATCAAGTTGGAAATCCATGCAGTCAGCAAAACCATCACAACGCCAGTGAGCTGGGATACAGCTATTGGAAGAGGGGCACATCAAAGCTCCATTAGAACAGCTCTCATTGGCTGGAAAAAAGAATAATGGTCATAATTACAAGCATGTCTTTTTTTTAGTGAGTGTCTTCTAATAAAATAATGACAGTCTATTGTATTTCCCCTCATTTTTCTAGTCTTATATTTAAACTATATATTACAGTTGTTTTTGAAGAAAGTTTCAATTTATTAAGTTGAAACTTCCCTCAAAAAGAAGTTTGCAGATAGAATCATTTCCCAGGTGTGCATTATGTAGTATCACACATGTAATGAAATCCATTCTATGTGAGGAATTGATTTTAGATTAGAGATCAAGTTTTACTTCAAGGCAGATGTCTGTGCTTCTGTTGCTCCCCTAATGTCCCTGATATTATGTGCAGCTGAACTGACAGGGATTATAACTTGTTTGAATGTTCATCAATTTCCAACTGGGTTTTAAGTCACGGGTAGTCACTGGGTTCCTGTTGGATCTGGGTGATGATGTAGATCATTGCAGCTCAATGTACTATGACTATGTGCCTTTATAGCATCGTGTTAATGCCCGATGTAGGTATTTTACTAATTCTAGAGATTCTTGTTGGCCTGACTTCAAGGCACAAGCATAAGTCTTGCTCATAAGACTTTGGTGGTTTCATAAAAATGTCTTTATTAATGACCATTAAGAGTACTGACAGTTCCATGGCAATCTAGTGCTGCAATGTACTTGACCTCCCTCAGATGGTACTCTTAGTCTTGAAACCATATTCCTGTGTTCTCCCATCTCACTTCCTAGTCTCTTTAAGATTACAACTTCCTATAAAGGAGTAAGCTATGTTTCAGATTCTTTTTACAATTTAGGAATGAACCAGAACCCTTCATTCCATGCTGCCGTCATGTTTTCCTATTCTCCTGATTGCTTGAGAACCTGGAAACCAGCCAGCCTGGGTTTCAGGCTTGATCTCTATTCTCTGCTTCTACTCTATGTTTTTTTTCCATGCCAATATTTATCATGTCTCTGAGCCATTTTATGTGATAGCTCTTCTATCTAGCATTGCTATGTGTTTGGAGTAAAGGAAAAGTGTCAAAGCATGAACCCACTGCACAGCCTGTCAGGAATTCTGGACAGAGTTTAAAAGCACTAAATCATAATGATATTGGTCCATACTGCTTCTCTAACCCTGTTCCTTTGAGGCCTAGGGTTCTGCAGAGATTTGACGAAGCAGCAGTGAACAACCAGGGCTTTCAGGTGCTTCACTCAAGTTCAACGAGAAGAATAGTTCTGCTTCTTTCTCATTTACTTAATTGTGTCATATACAATATCTTATCTGAACATTTAAACCAAACCTGCAGCTAAAAATTTACAAAGGATTGATCTGGGAAGTTACTTCTACTAGAATAAAGACAATTAAGTTCAAACTCCTCAAGATAAATGGATAATTTAGAAGACCCTGGAATAAAGGTCCCTATATATGAGTCTTGTACAGATGTTGTCAGTTATGTCACAAATTCTTCTTTTCTTTAAGTATATTTATGGGCTGGAAGGAATTGTTTATTTCAGTTATCATAGGTTATTGACATAATTAGTTTGAGTACTGCCTATCAAAATCTATTTTCAAATTGGACATAAAAATAATGTTTTTAAGAGTATATGTTTCCATTGACTAAAAATGCTCTCTCTGACAAATTAAAGTGATACTCTTCATTCAGCAATCCTTCCTAAGGTGCTAGAACATCAATTCACACCAATAAGTATTATTGGGATGCCACTACAAGTAAGACACTGTGCCTAGCACTTCAACTGGAGAGCACAGGAGAGAAATTTAAAAAAACAATGGCCAGAACATACACAGCAACAAAAAGAAGGGAGCAATACAAGAGTGATTAACAGTTCAAAATAATAATAAAAGAAATGCCATATGGCGAGACTTAGTTGGCAAAGCATTGGTATAGATAGATACTACACAAACAAGAGATTCCTTTAGTGTAGGGAGGTCTATAAAGGCTGAAAGTAAGAGTAGATTCTTGAAATTTGTTTTAAATTTTAGTTTTTCCAGAAAAAAGCCATTTAGCAGAGTAGGAATAAAATCTATAGATGGGGAATCAATACGTTTGATATCAGAAGAGTGAGTAAAACAGTTTGTCTTTGGGGATTTTGTGTAAGCAGGTAAACCTGTACAACAAGGCTCAAAGCAGATAGGAATGGCTTGGGTCCCAGGAGAAGAGATGATCTTTAAGCTTTTCCAAAGAATTAAATAATTTTAGGATATACATTGACGAGATAAATCAGATTGTAACCAAGTGAACTAGGAAATAGAATAATATTCCAACTTTCATAAGCTGAAAGATGTTTGTAAAAAATGACTAAGTATATATATATATGTATATACATGCATCTATATATCCATGTGTATATGTGTGTGTGTATGTGTTATACACATTTTTTTTTGTCATCATTGTTCTTCATTGCAAGGGGCTGAGAGATCATATAAGATGATGGTTTTAAGGTTTTAAATAATATAATATGTTGAAATACAAATATGATAGATATTATCCATCTACTTGCAAAGCGTTATTTTTAACCTTTCTTCTCTTGGAAATACGAGTTCATCCATGTTCTTTCACTCATTTTCCAGCGTGACTGATAGTTTATTTTCAAGTTGACTGTACCATGAAGAGCTCTAACTTGTAAGGGATATAAATCCTCAACTTTGGCCCAACTAGCATTGAAGCACATAGAAGATATGTAAGAAAATAAATTGTTTCAATTTGTTAAAAGTTTTACTTTCTATAGAAAGTTAACAGTTTAGACTGTTAGAAATTGGCCTTTTGCGAACCCTCATACACTGCTGGTGGGAATGCAAACTGGTGCAGCCACTATGGAAAACAGTACGGAGATTCCTCAAAAAATTAAAAATAGAACTACCATACCATCCAGCCACCCCACTACTGGGTATTTATCCAAAGAGCTTGAAGTCAGCAATCCCAAAAGTCCTATGCATCCCAATGTTCATTGCAGCATTATTTACAATAGCCAAGACATGGAAGCAACCTAAGTGCCCATCAACAGACGAATGGATAAAGAAGATGTGGTACATATATATAATGGAATACTACTCAGCTGCAAAACAGAACAAAATCATCCATTTGCAATACCATGGATGGACCTTGAGGGAATTATGTTAAGTGAAATAAGCCAGCTAGAGACGGATAATCTGCATATGACTCCACTCATATGAGGAATTTAAAATTATGGACTAAGAACAGTTTAGTGGATACCAGGGGAAAGGAGGGGTGGGGGATGGGCACAAAGGGTGAAGTGGTGCACCTACAACACGAATGACAAAGGTTAATGTACAAATGAAATTTCACAAGATTGTAACCTATCATTAACCCAATTAAAAAAAAAAAAAGAAATTGGCCTTTTGCTTGATGAAATTTGAAACTAAAATCTTAGTTCCTGTGGCATTTTAAATAGTCTAACATTAAAGTTAATGGATATTTATCAACTTCATTTTAAAATTAGGTGGCAAATAAATTATGAATGCAATTAACATTTACTGACACCCATAGAACAAAGGACTTGTACTGCATGTAGCAAAACAAATTGAATCATTACTTTCTTTTCCTCACCCATTACTAATACATATACAACAAAGAAAAATTCCTAAATTAGTCCAAATAAGCTATGCGTATATAAAATTTATAGGAAACTCAGATTTGAAAATATTTCCTGAGACAATATGTACTTTTGCCACATTCTCATTGAAACGCTATGGTTTAATGTCTAAAAAAATATTTATCTCAAATTCATCATCATCCTAGAGGTTGATACTCTTTCTTACCAAAATAAGCTAAGTAACACAGAGCATTTTGTGGCTTTTAGCACATTCAGTCAGATAGATGATATGTTAAAGATAAACAATTCATGAATTTTTCATTGGAATTACTTCTCTAAAGCAAAATTCTTTTTATAGATTATGGTTGCTGCATAAGAAATATACACAAAACTAAAACATGTATAATGATGGATATGTATCCATTTACTATTAAAATGAAAACTCACGTATGCTGGGGATCAACATTTCTAACAGAGTAATGGTGGTCTTCTGCCATGAGAATAAAGGCTACAAGCCCTTAAAAGCATACACGCATCTAGCATTGAGCAGGATGGATATTTACTCTATGCTTGAACTAAATCCAATCATTACTCTTATTGAAATATCTTAGTTTAAATAATTTTGAGTAAAACCATAAAAATAATTTAATGGGGAAAGGATAGTCATTTATTATGTATGTATTATGCACTTTACCATATTAACTCATTTAATCCTCCAATGCCTCTGTAAAATAGACTTAATCAACACAGTTTTAATGTCAAATAAACTGAGGAACACTTTTGCTATAAAAGGAGCTGTCAAATGCACAGGGATAATGTTTACACTATCATTGAAAAGCACATAGGACTCTGAGATCATAGCTGACACATTTCAAGGCCAATAGTAAAAATGTTGATGATAAAGGTTGATCCACAAATCCGTGGAGATGACCCATTCTAAATCTTCAGCAGTGGCACTGAACATCATAGGATCCAGTGAATACTACTGGAAGAACTTAAAGTTAGTGGTTAAACGATCCACTTCTCTATCTGTTTTGCACAGTTGTATCTACCATTGGTGGAGAGCTTCCATGTGCATGTGCTGGTCCAGCCTCTACCTTCTCTACTGCTCTGGGCCCCAGGAGGCTGAACTGGAAGGCAACATCAATATGCTTCTTTGCCTTCTAGTTTATGGTTGGCTTTGGCTGATGGGGAGCATCAGCAGGAGATTCATGCAGAGAGAAGAGGCTGTAAGATCACCATGGGCTAGCTGCTCCCCTTTACTAAATGTTCCCCTTTTATCAAGTAGCCCTCTTTGACTCCAGGTTCAGGCAACTATTCCCTCCACTCAGTCCTTTGAACTAAGGGTGATAAAAGCCCCCACTCTAACTTTCCTTTGTGGTTTCCCTATGCATACTAGTTCCCTAATAGATAATCCCTTTATTAAAGCATTCTCAAATTATGCGATATCAATGTACCATCTATTTCTTCCCAGGACATTGACTAGTACAACATCTGATGAAATCTTGAAATCTCCTTGGTGAATAGATTGCTATCAGAGGAATATCAATGAGAATAATATTCCCAGCTTTCTGCTATTTTCGCATATAGTTAAACCATAATTATTTTTTCCCTTTTTAGGGAAAGGGAATAGTTTTGATAACACAAGTATCATTTCAGTTTATTTAAAAAAAAACACTTCCAATGGAAATATAATGTTAAATATGAATTATTTTTAAATGTTGAACTCATCAAAGGTTTGTCTAAACAGTCTGGTCACCAGAACATTCATTTTTGCAAGAATAAAAGGGCTTCAAATCTCAATTGCTATTGATTTCTCTGCCTAAAATTGTAAACATCTCGGAACCCTTATTCCTACAATATTTAAACATGTGCAAGCCTCTCAAACCAAACGAAATAAAGGATCCTCTTATTTTGTCCTACATCCCACTCTAAATGCCAACTTTTTGAAAGTTGTCTACAATTGATTTCTCTCTTCGCCATTTTCCATTGTCTCTACAAAAGACTGACTTCAGCATTCTGACCTTCCACTCCACAGCAAGTTCTCTTGCCAAGATCACCAAAGCATTTTCGCTTTTCCCCAACTGTATTTTTTAGGCCTAATCTTACACGATCTCTCAGAAATATTCCAACCTGTGAATACTCTCCGATACTTAAGGCTTTCTACTTTTGATTTAAGATCATCACTCTCATTGTTGTCCTCCTTTGACCACATCTCAGTGTCTTTCAATGTTTAGCTTTTCTTAACTGTCCTTTAGATGTGCCCTAGGATTCTGTCTGTACTTTATCTTTTTCCTCTCTGTATTATCTCATCTACACCCACAGCTTCAGTCATCGGGTGCTGATGGCCACGTATCTTTACATGCCTTGCTTTACCTCTCCCCTGAGCTCCAGTTCTATTTCTAAACACATTCTGAACATTTCCATGTGGCTGATTCACAGATAGCACAAATACAACATGTCTAAAAATCAAGCCACAATCTTCCCCTAAAAGAGCCTTCTCCTCCTGTTTTCCCTAGCCCAGGAAATGGCACCTTAGCTGTCCTATTGCCCAAATCAGAAACTTGGAAATTATTCTTGATTACTTTCTCTTCCTGTTCATTTAAATATTTCTTAAATCTATTTATAGTCTTTGCCTCACATCATTATCTAATCAATCCCTTTATATTTCAATTGCAACTTCTCCTAACCAGCCCCCCTTCCTCACTCCAATCCGTTCCACGTACTACTTAAACAGTTGTGTAGCACTGGCAGGATGATAGGTGAGGATTCTCCAAGATCTAGTCCCTGTTTATCTCTCCAAGCTTATTTCTACATTTCTCACCACAGACTCCACTCTAGTTATACAAAATATGCTTCAGTCAAACAACTTTTCATCTATTCTTGGAACATTCTTCACTAGAATCAAATTTCTCTACTTTACTTGCCTAATGACTACTTGTCTTTCCAAATTTGGCTCTGCAATCACTTTTCTTATTAAAATTTCAGACTCCCTGGCACCATAGTTAGGGAGTACCCTATGGATTTAATAACACTGTGTTTATCTCTGTCACAGAGCTTATCACACGGTATTCCTACCTATCACTTACTAATCTCCTTCAGTAATACATAATGCATCTACAACCTGAGCTGATGCAACTCCATATCTTCAACAAGTGAGCCCAGAAAAAAACTATCATGCCTTCATTTGTTCAGTAAACTGTTATCATTGGATGCCCTTATTCTATAATTTTGCTCTAACATTTTGCCCATAGTTTATTTTCACACAATTTTCCCTAGAGAGTCATAACTCAATTAAATATCTTAGAGATGGATAGAAGCAATTCTTTCATGATACCAGCCTATTCCTAATGTGGGCTTATTTTCCTTTGGGAGCAGAACTTCATATATTACTGACTCATCAAATACCAATTTTCTAACAAGCATCTAAAAGTATAAGATACAGTACTTTCCTAAGCTTCTCTTTAAATAGCATCGTTATTTGAAGTCAAACATCATATGACTACATTGAACTTAATATGATTTCTATCAGCCAAATTACATTAGAGCTCCGATGGGAAAAGGGATAAGTAATTTGGCAGGCTTTCTCTTCTTCATTCACTTCCATTTGTTTACCTTGTCTCTTAGAAAATATTATAAGACCTGACAAGTTCACTTTAGTACAGAAAGAATATACAGGTAAGAAATAATAGGGAGATAAAAAGCCAATCGCTAAGCCTAAACCAGGAAGAGAAGTTCACTGATTTGAGGCTAAACCTTTAAACATCCAAAAACTGTCTTCCTTTTTCTTCACTCATCTTCACTCCTTTTCCAATAGTTATCATAATTCCAGATGCCCACGCCAAACAGCGCACTGAAATAGCCTTATATTTCTTTCAACGTTTCCTTCTTACAGTTACATTCCAAACTCCTCCAAAAAAATGTGGTCATTAACATATGGCTTATGGAGCCCCGTAACATAAAACCAAGCAAATAAACAATTAAAAAAATGTCAGTGGTACTTTGACTCCACCATAATTATGTGCTCACCTTAAAGATCTATCTAATTGCTTCCTAACTAACACTCTTCCTTCCCTTATCTGACATAAACTAATCATAATAAAAATAGAAGGTATGGAATGCAGGGTTGGGATGTTACATGTATTCTCTCAAACTCTCTCAGCCCTGTAAGGTAGGTTTTACACAGATGATGAGACTGACTCCAATAACTTTCCCAAGACTGCATAGGTAGCAAGTGACAAGGATGAGATTCAAACCCATGTCCCTAGGATTTACCATTCCATGTACTCTTAATGACATAACATCTACCCAGGTAGTTGTCCAGAGCCAAACTCTAATACATCTATTCACTAAAATGGATATTTGCACATAGTGCTTTTCTTGAGCCATCTTCATAAACATCTATGGTGGAAAGAAAGTAAAATTACACATCTTCAATCCATTTCCACAAATATTTGTTAAAAAAGATAACAAATACATAGGAGCCTCCCCCATATGAAGGATCCAGATATAAATAAAAAGAAAATCAGTAAGTTTAATAGAGATTAGTATGACTACAAATAGAATGTTCCCAGAAATGTTAAGCAAGGGCTACATGCTTTGTTTAGAAACAAAACACGAACAACTGTGTTATTGATGATGCAATCATGGTAAGACTCCAGAGAACTTTGTTTTATCTGTCAAGCTCTCTCTATCATTTCCAAATGGCGTTTCTTCCCTGGCACACTGAGTTAGTGAAAATAACTCACAGCAGCTGGATTCATCTTCATTAAAGTGACAGTCAGGTACTCCATCACATAGCAGGAGGGATGGGATACACTCGTTGGTAGAGCACTGGAATTCCATTTTCCCACAGAGCTGAGATGGGGGGCTGAGAGAACAATCCATCTCATCAGATCCATCTATGCAATCTTCCTGTCCATTACATTTCCTGGAGAGAGGGACACACTGAAGTGTGTAGACACAAGAAAATTGATCAGCTTCACAAGGTGACGGCTGTGTGGTGACAGGACCTAAAAAGAAAGCAAGTCAAGTCATTTTGGCATTAGGAGAGTTCTCTTTCTGTCCAGTGTTGAAATATAACAGGAGACATTTATTTTGGATAAGCATGAAATATTTCGGTAATTTAAGTAAATTAATTTCCAATTACCAATAATATAAACTCTATAAAACATACAAACATGATTAGAGAATATGCCTTATCTTCTTAACCTCAGAAACAACATTCTTAGAAAGGGCATCATTGTTATGAAAAATGATACTTTCAAATTAGAGAAGAAATTTTGATTCATGTGTCTTAAATTTGACCACTAAATCAAATTTTCCTTGAGAGTAAAGATACTTTTACATGGTAAGTTAGGTACTTTGGAAAGCTGCACTCACAATTTTAGAATTCAAGGGAATCGTCATTATGTCAGTATACAGTTTATTAACTGCCTCTTAATGGCCTCCGCTTAGAGAATTTGGCTCCTGAGACTCTGGTCAAGGTTGAGTCGCAGAAGCAGAGGTCTGCTATGGTTTTGTTGCCCCGCACTTTGCCTTTGGGTCTTGATTACAGCTCAAAGGCCATGTGCTCTCATATCTGAAGTGCAGATAAAATCATAGTTTAAGCCAGGACATTGGACTAGCAGAAATCTTGAAGAAAATGTTATTCAAACCCAACCAACTCATTTTACAAATGAAGATCCTGAGCTCCATACATTTTAAGTGTCCAAAGATACAATGCCAGTTGAAATAAACTTTTGTCACATGAAACTACTCTTCAGCAGTGAGTTAAGTCAACTTGAAGTCAAAACTTCCAGCATGAGCAAAGAGTGTTGACTAGCTGCTGTTTGTAGAGGTCAGAGAATATATGTGAATACACAAGGTTGTACTAATTTGCTGGAATATTAGTGGAACTGTTTGTATTCTCTATATTGTCTGTCTCTGTGACAGTTGTTGATGAGCTCATCAAAATATTAAGGGAAAAAAATAGTAGTTGGAACCAGTTGAGGAATAGTTTGTTTTTCATTCTTTACATTTTTAAACTACTTTTATTTATGGATTATATGAGAATGATTTTATACATAAAGATGGTGTTGTGAATTCATTTTAAAAAAGAAATTTGAAAGTTCCTTTCCCTCCCTAGTGGTGATATATCTAGAATAGATTTAGACTCAAACTCTATGATCAAAGCCATGTATCTGAGATATATGTGGTGGTGCTTAGAGAATCTTTGTTCATGGAAACCAGTATATTTAACTGGGGGAGGGTAAACACTTCGAGCTATTAGTACCATGTTCTTATCTAAGTCCCTAAGATCATAGGAGAAAATACAGCTGCAGTGTTCCAATGTAAACATTCTAACTTCAAACTAAGAAAGTAAAGTGGAGTTAAATTTATATATATATATGTAAATAAATATATATATTTTTTCGATGTTTAACCATGGTCAAATAAATAGTTTCTCTTCATTCTTTTCATCAGATTAATCTTACATTTAAGGAAGGTTAGAGATGCTTAATTTTATTTTTTTCTAAAATATTTTATGCACTAAACTTTTATCTTATGAAATCACCAAAGGTAGCAAAGGTTGAATAAACTTTTTGCATGTGATGAAAATCTAGAACCTTTCGTTAACCATTTCGTTAGTAATACACCTATTACTTAGCTATGTTATTAACCTTTTCCTATAAACGAGGGAAATAATTTTCTCTATTCCAAACAGCACAAATTCCTCATGTTTCTGACTTTATTCAAAATGGTGTGTGTGTGTGTGTTTGTTCCTTTATATTTTTTTCTCATATTAGATATGCAAAAATAAAATTCTCTCTTTTATTTGGAGGTAGGAATTCCATTAAATTCCACGATCATTTATATCAAAAGGTATTCAGAACTCACATGTTCCTGGCCCTTCTTTACAAGGAAGCTGGTGGGCTTGTACTGCCTGTAGTGGATTCTGTCTTGTGCTGCCCAAATTCTTCTATCAAGATTAGGAGGTTCATTCTGCCAGCTGCTGGGAGGTTACCTGAAGACAGCTTACGGCTGAGTCTGGCTCCAGGAATTTCCCTTTAAAGTTGCATACCTCTCTAGGAACAGCTCCATTCATTGACTGGTGAACTGGAGACAAGATGGCCCAGTCTCCGTGCTTCAATTTGGGACGTCTATGAAAGGGCCAGTACAGCTCCAGAACTCCCCATGGCATCAGCTGAGGCCCCCTATTGCATCTGCATCACAGCTCAGCCCTCCCCCTGCCCAATCCTGCTTCCTTCACTTCGCAGGGTGTGTTCTGGGGAGAATTTTCGATACATCTGGTACATGGGAATCTGTGCCACAGAGTCCACTTCCCTGGGAACCCGACCTAAGATACTACCCAACTATCAAAATGCATCCTGTTTTAATTCAATTCCCCCAAAACCACTTCTCAAATTTTCCACCAAAATAGTTCTCATGTAAGAGGAACATGAACTTGCACCCCCAGGGAGAGTCTAAGTTGCCCCTTAGCCAGAAGCAGCACTCCATAAGTTCAACATTTCTTTTAAGTGTCTTGTTTTATCTAATTAAAATTCTGTATTCTACTACATAATGCATCCAAGCTTTTTAATATAAAAGACTTCCTCCAGGTATTCAAATAAAATGAATACTCCTAGAAGATGTGAAGATGTACTATGTTTATCTTCTGAATTGAATGCATTCTGCTGCATGTCCTCTTTGAGAAGTTAAGAAAGTTTTCCTAAAAATTTAATATCAATGTATTTATTCTTGGGTGTCATCCATGGAGTTACCTTATTATTACAGGTAATGTCCTTATCATATAATTCTATAAAAAATGAACAATATTAATTATTCTTTTTTATAACCCGAAAAATCTTAACACTACCTTAAATGCATATTACTAACTGAAAAAAGTCAATCTTAAAAGGCTACATATTGTCTGATTCCAACTACATGATACTCTGGAAAAGAAAAAACTATAGATACAGTAAAAAGATCAGTGGTTGCCAGGGACTGGGGGAAGAAAGAGATGAACAGGTGGAACATGGGATTTTTAGAGTAGTGAAACTATTCTGTATGACACTGTAATGGTATATACATGCCATGCCACAGACTGAATGTTTGTCCACTCCCAAATTTCATAGTTGAAACCTAATTCCCAGTGTGATGATATTTGGAGGTGGGGCCTTTGGGAGGTGATTAGGTCAAGAGGGTGGAGCCCTCAAGAATGGGATTAAAAAAAAAGTGGCTGGAGAAAGTTCCCTTGCCCCTTCCACCTTGAAAGGACACAGAAAGAAGGCACCATCTATGAGAAAGCAGTTTCTTACCAGACACCAAATCTGCCAGTGCCTCGATCTTAGACCTCCTTGCCTCCAAAAATGTGAGAAATAATGGTTGTGGTTTGTAAGTTACTCAGTCTATGATTTTCTGTTATAGCAGCCCAAACAGATTAAGACACACCATTATACATTTGTTAAAACTCATAGAACTTATAACACCAAGAGTGAACCCTAATGAAAACTACGGACTTTGAGCGATAGTGATGTGTCAATGTTGGATCATCGATTGTAACAAATGTACCATCTGATGCTGAAACATTGATCATGGGGGAGGCTATGGGTGTGGAGGGAGATGGTGTACAGGAACTATCTGTAATTTCCACCTAATTTTGCTGTAATTTCTGTAATTTCCACCTAATTTTGCTGTAAACCTAATACTGTTCTAAAAAATACAGTATATATGTGTGTGTGTGTGTATATATATGTATTTCTGTAAATCTAAGCACCAATATCCCTGAGAACCTATATTCTATCTTGTACCTCATATTTGATGCTTTTCTTTTGGAATTTCTGTTCTAGCTTCTCCAAATCCTTTTTAAATTCCAATATTTAAAATACACAATGTTTTAATAAATGGAGTTTATATTGGTCAGGTATGTTTCTTACCATGCCGAATGAGCTGCTTAGTTAGGTTGTTTAAAACCAATGGAATTGATGTGCAAGGGCAGTGAATGAGGAAGGAAAATGGCCTGAGGTCAGTCCTAACCATAGTTAGCTTCCTTGGATATACACGTTGTTGCTCATTTATACGAGAGAGTTACTCTACGAGACAATGCAGCATGATCACTGCAAAAGTAAAACCTACCTCAGAAAAGCCAACTGAAATAGCACAGTCAGCGTTGGTAGTGTCGTCTTCATATACCCCAAAGGGCACAGTTAGAAGAGAAAGGATGAAAGAAAGAAAGAAAGAGAGATTGAGGGACACTCAAAAATGGTGACTGTAACATAGGAAGAGAGAGAAGGAGGAAAGAAAGACACACCAGGAAAATGCAGATTCATTTTGACAATATGAGTCATTATATAACTTAAAGGTGTTTTCTTGTTGTTCTTAAGTCAATATTTCTTAGACTGTATCTGATCAGGGGTACCGTGTAGAGCTGATACTGGGGGCAGGAAGAAGAAAGAGACTGCTATGAAAACTTAGTACACTTACACACACACACACACTAATACATTATATCATATTAGCTTTAGGGGAATGTTTCTCAAATGGATCACAAGTCTCAAGTGTGTTGGAATCAACAATACTGTGTATCTTATACTATAAATTTGCAGTTGATTTACTCTTTGTATGCTGGAGCTGATTCAAGGCTGTACCAACAATAAAGTTAGGATGACTCATTTGTATCCTACTAAACGTGCTTCCTCCAGTAGCTATCATCTGGAAATTGTACATCCATCACTGCTCTCTTGTCTATATTGCATAAGTCATATGACAAGCGCATGAGTGTTACCTCTCACGTGTTTCAACAGAAAATAGGTTAAGAAATGCTGCTTTAGAGTATAGCGGATTTGTATGCAAGTTAGTTTTGGGAAAAGTTACTAATCAAAGCTATACTAGTGCCATCAAGAAACTGCAGCTGAATCATGGCAACAGAGTCTTTGCCAGGTCTTTACCCATTTTTTTCTCAGAGCTGTGATCTCACATTAAGTTTGGACTTTCCAAGTCAGAGCTGGAGAAGTTTTAACTTCCCTTTGAG